TAGAGTACCTTGGGAAGTCAGATTGATTTCTAAACCACTCTGGGAACTGTAGTCTCCTTAGCAACTCTTGGCACCCTTCACAAGCTACAGTGCCCTGGATGCTCTGAGAGAAGCCATGACTGCTACCATGAGTTGCTACTTTTAATAGTAGTTTAACAGTGCTTTAAATGCAAGATGTGGCCCAAGTCTGTGCCATCTTCTAAGACATAAGGAAAGCCTGTTGGATCAGCCAATGGCCTTTCTAGTCCAAGCATCCTGTTCTCACAATGGCTGAACAGATGCCAGTGGGACACGTGCCAGCTGGACCCAAGGGCAACAGCGCTCTGCCCTCCCACGATTCCTGGTATTCTGCACTTGGACAGTGTATACTGATGAAGGCAATACATCAAGTCTTACTTCTCATCAACCCTTATTCATGTTTGGAACACAGAATCAGGAAAGACATAGGGAGTCACTGCTTCAATCTCGCCACCATAATACAACTTCCTGTACTAATTAGCACCACACGTGCATAGTAATTTCAATGGTCCTGCATTATACGAATGGCCAACTCACCACATCGTTTCAAACTAACCTAGTGGACCAATTCCCTGTGGCCAAATACAGTGGTACCTCGGGTTAAGAACATAATTCGTTCTGGAGGTCTGTCCTTAACCTGAAACTATTCTTAACCTGAGGTACCACTTTAGCTAATGGGGCCTCCCACTGCGCTGCCACTGCGTGATTTCTGTTCTCATCCTGAAGCAAAGTTGTTAACCCGAGGTACTATTTCTGGGTTAGCGGAGTCTGTAACCTGAAGCATCTGTAACCCGAGGTACCACTGTAGCATATAATAATTTCCTTCTGACCACTGAAAAAGATAAATTGGTTTGAAATTCATCTGGTCTCTGGAAAAAAAATGTTGTCATCTTTTGGTCATAGATGGATTTTGATCAGACTTTGACCTGAATAGGCAAATCAGTTTGTCATTGTATCATATTTGCAATTTTATCTGTTTTGACTACAAATTTATATTTTTACATTGGATTAAAGTTGCACTTCATTTTCCTATAGTATGAAGTAGAAGCATTTAGAAGCATTTCAAATTTTTCACTCTTATGCAACTTAAGTCTTTCACCATAACTTTCAGAAACATTTAAATTCTTCTCTATTCCCCAGGATTCTTCACAATGCAACTTTTATTCTTGGTAGTTGCTCTGAAGCAATTGCCCATATAAACATTGAAAGCACAAGTAAAATGCTGTACAACTACAGCCTTTTAGATGGGCCCTGGAGGCTTATGGTGCCTTCATGTCTATTTAATGTGCATTAATATACATTATATAAGCATGGCATCCAGTTTCCTCACACAATGGAGACTTGTATCATGCAAGCAAGAAATTGCTTCACTACTATGAGCTGCTTTAGAAGTAAAAAGATCCAAGAGTGTCATATCAGACTCTAGAAGTGTCTGATATGTCATATAGCAGTGTAGTGTCAGAGAGAGGCAAGGTTATGCCAAGTAGGCTGAAAAACTCAATGCGTCACTTGGAGAAGGTCCTGTTCAATTCTGGGCAGGAGTCTCACCCACATTAAATATCTCACAGTCCCTGGGCTCTTAAATGTGGATCAAAAGAACTGCAAACTGCAAGGCTGTGTCTCCATGGTAAAGGGCACACATTGCGTGCAGGTAGCGCCATATTCCATCCCTGGCATCTCTGGACAAGGCTGGGAAGAAGCCCTGTCTGAAACCCCAAAGAGACGCGGCCAGCCAGCAGAGACCATACTGAGCTAAATGAACCAGTGGTGTGACTCAAAGCAGCTTCTTCTATTCATGGGGGAAACCTGCTGGAGGAAACTATGGCATTCCACTGCTGCCCACTGTGAGAGGCAGCAACTGGGCTGCTGCATGAGATCCTGGGCTCCATTTTCCCATGGGCTTACGCCAGAAGAAGCTGTTTCAAAACCCAAACAGTGGCGCCCCTGCCATGCCTATTTGCTGTCACCTGGTGTTGGGTGAGGAGAGACTTGTGGCAGCGGCAGCAGCAGCCAAGAATAGAGCGTACGCTGGCACCCGCAGCTGAATTTCCAGGCTCTCCAGAAGCAGGCACAGAAAACTGCTTCAGATTTTCTGCCCCGCAAGGCTTTTTCTTGCTTGGGCACGGATTCTGAGTCAGCATCCAAGGCTCATTGGCCTGTGAGTCAAAGGCTGCTGCTTAGATTATAGCATCACACACAAGTCATTCACAAATGGCTTACAATTAATGGTGGGTTGTTTTTTTAGGGAAGGTGAAGTTTAACTAGCCAGTCTTGTGTAGTAGTTAAGTGTTGCACTAGGGCCTGGGAGAGCAGGCTTCAAATCTCCAAACGGCCATGAAGCTCCCTGGGTCTGTTCTGCGGCCAGTCACAGCCTCTTGGCCTAAACTGCCTCACAGGGTTGCTATGAGGATCAACTGGAGAACTGGGAGAAGAACCATGGATTGTATTCAGCTAAGTGCTACCCACCATTAATCTGAATTGGTCTACTCTGAGTAGGACTCATGCTGAACACAACCAACATCAACTCCTTGGAGGGAAGATGTGGTATAATGTAATGCTCCACTACTATATATTTTGGAAAGCTGCTCATTTGCTATGCATTTGGACACTAAAGGTATGGTAACCAAATTTTGCATGATGGTCCCTGAGGACCAAGGATCAGGTTTTGGTTTATGCTTGGGTAACATCAGGTGCCATTTTGAACCAAGATGGAGGACGAAACCTTTCCAAACTCCACTGGTTTTTTGGTTCCTCAGAATTCCAGAGCAAAGCTGGCAACCAAGCTGCTAGTAAATAAATAAAATAGAGAACAAATTTGTTTAAATAAAGAACTACCTTGCATGAGAGATAAGAAGCTGCAAAAGAAGAAAATGATACAAACAAGTCAGGGACTGGTTTGAAAACTTGCTTATAAAGCTGCTTAGGCCCTGGACTCTGTGCTACCCAGGAGCCCCACATTAAGTGTCCTGGCCTTCCCAAAGAAACAATGAGCGAGAAATCAGCAGATAATAAGACGTGACCAACAGCCACTGACATTTTTGTGTGTGTGGAAAGTGACATGGCATAAATAATATAAGATGACCCCAGATTCTAGTTTTATGAGAAAGGGAGAAAAAGGCCTCTCCATCTGCTTCCCCCAGGACTCTTTTTATGTTCTTAGCCTCTCAAAGCCTTCACATGACGCCGCTTCCAGCCTTTTACCTCCATGACAATGAGGCCTAGCATCCTACTTTTTAAAAAGCTACTTGTTGATGCCACTGAAAATTCCAGCCAATCTTTAAAAAAGAAAAGAAAAGCTGTAACGGTTCTGTAGATTCATTTCCAGCACCACCCTGATTCAGGATCATCACAGGCCGCTGGCAGTCAGCAGCACCTGCCCCTCTCTGGGATATTCGAGGCCCCACCATAAATGTTCATCTCCATTTGAAAATACCAGCATGTTTCTAGATCTTTCTAGAAGAAAAGCATGGAGGCTGAATTCTACCTAATCACTTACCAGGAAGTAATCCTGCCCCTCCAATACAGAGTTCTGGGCAATTAATGCAAAACAAGAGGAATAACTCACCTTTGGAAATCTGGTTTATGAGATTGCACCACAAGCCCATCTCCACAACTAAGGGCCAGAAACCTGAGAACTTCTTATAAAATAGAGATGCTCATGATCTCAGGAAGCAAATTTCCACATCCAGCAACACACTACGCAGATTTTATGAGTTCCTGTAGAATCATGTATAGGTAGCGCTTACCTGGCGGACTCAATGGAATGTATCTCCAACCAAGAACACAAAACAGGCATCTAATCCAGGGTTTCTCAAACCTGGGCCTCTAGCTGCTTTTGGACTACAATTCCCATCATCCCTGGTCTTAGTAGCTGAGCATGATGGAAGTTGTAATCCAAAAACAGCTGGAGACCCAAGGTTGGAAAATACTGCTCTGGTCCTATTTGCACTTTCCTGGGAGTAAGTCCCACCAAATGCAATGAGACTTACTTCCGAGTAACCATGCACTGTAGGTGTGCAACATCCCTTGCTCTGGAGGGAAAATACATTCCTGTTCCTAAAGCTGCCAAACTTATGCAAAATTAAATCAAATCTCTTCAGTTCATAGAAACTAGCAGCATCACATTTCTAAGTGCCATGGCAACGAGGAAATTTCACCACACCTGCAACTCAGCTCTGAAATAATGAACTGCTCCTCTAATTTATTCCTTAGTGGTTCAACCAGCAAAACACTCCCTAAGATATTATCGGCTTCCAGAGTGATTCATTCTAGAAAACAAACTTCAACAGCTCATTATTCTTTGCTAGAGCAAAATAATCTACCTTTCCTTAAGAAGCTGGCATCTCCGTCCATGCCACTTTGAGTAAATACGCAACACACACCAGTTCATATCCACTTGCCTGATCAGCTGTGGCGAGTATAAATCAAGTCTAGGTGACAATGCAAAGGAAAACATTTTTTTTTTCTGTTGGCCCACTGGCAAACTATAACTAGAATACATATTGGGTAGGGTAAGCTTATTTACGGCGAGAAACCTTTGTGGACTGATGAAGGAACTCAGGTTACCTGTCTGACTTAGAGGTCCCTCTGTTAATGTGTTAAGGCAGCAGGCTGTGGCATCGCACAGGTCTCTTGGTCAGGCTTTTGGGGCTACAGAAGGACATCACTGCCCAAGCTTGAGATAAAGCATGCAGTGGGAAAGGCCATTGGTCAGAGCCACCACACATGCTCTGCATGCAGAACACCCCAGGTTCCATCCCTGGTATCTCCAGGGAGGGCTGGGGGAAAATCCCTGGCCTAGAGAGCCTCTGCCAGTCCATGTAAAGAATGCTGGACTAGAAGGGCCGATGGTCTGACTCTGCATAAAGCAAGTTCTTATGCACACAGGGTGGAATTATTTCCAAAGAGGCCGCTCTCCGAAACACAGTAGGGCAATCACAGTAACGCGCACTCCGACACCCAAGTGGCGAATGAATTCTTACCACGTTCCCCTCCTTGCCATCCTTCTGGTGCCCATGTCCCTGGGTATCTGTGGAAGAGCTGCTGCCTCCAGGTCTATTTTCAATGATGCCCGGAGACAGGGAGTAGAAAGGCGGACTAGGGCTGGGGGGCAGCCCTGAATCCGGGCTATCCAGCAAACCTTCTCGGTTCTTCTCTTTCAAGCTGTCTTCCATTCCTTGCAACTGCAGGTGACCCACCATGACTGGGGTGGGGAAGTGAGGGCTGTGGCTGCCAAGCAGGGGGGAACCCACCACCTCCTCCTGCAGGGAGGCAAACGCACGTGGTACATGCACAGGGAGTGCCAGCCGGATCCCTGTGCGCCTGTTGCCTTGGGTGACTCAGGGCTGGTTCCTGTGGCTCCAGCTGCCCCCTGTGGGAAGGAGAGAAAGCGGAAATGAACAGGCCATTCCTCATCAACACAAAAAACAGAAGTGGAGAAGAGAGGGCAGATCTCCAAGTACACCTGGGGAATAGGCTTTTTTCCTGAGACCCAGGTGAGAAACTACCAGTTGGGCTAGCCCAGGTGTGGGGAACCTTTGGCCCTCCAGATATTGCTGAACTACAACTCTCATCATCCCTGGCCATTGGCCATGCCTGCTGGGACTGATGGAGGAGTTGTTGCTGGCATCCGTCCGTCTCCAGAGACAATGGAGTGTGCCTCCGGGGGTGAAGTCAAACCACTGCATTAGCAGCCCCAAAGTGACCTCCCTGGGGCACAAGCCTGGGCAGTGTGCGTGGAGGTCCTGGGCTGGCCAGATGACAAGAGACGCCCCCCCCTCACTCATGTGGTCCAAAGGAAAGCAGAGCAAGACGTTTGGCACCAACTTGGCTGAAGGAATTGCCGGAATGAGGCATACAGGCCGCCCTCCAACCATAGGGACGCCACTCCAGATTTGTGTAGAGTTTACTCCTTAGCCTTTTCCTCTCCTGAAGATAGCCCACAAGGCAGCAGAGGTTTAGGATCAGTGTGTTCCTCCTCCTAGACGGGCTCCCTTCCAGGTGGAAGAGCCCCATCTGCCCCTCACTTCCCTCTATAGCACTGCAGAAACCACTTTCTTGGCCACTGGACCCACTCTTGGTCTTATCTGCTCAATCAAGACTATATAAAGCATTTTTTAAATTAAAAAGTGTTTCCTTTAAATGGCAGGTGCACACACAAAAAATAACCAAGTGGAAACCTATGCATGTTTTTGAGTAAACATACATCTTTGGGAGAAGCAGAGAGATTGAGGCTTTACGCTCTGAGTTTAGGATTACAGTTATGGGAGTAAGCCCCATAGAACTCAATGAGATTTACTTCCAAGCACTGCATTGTGCTTTGGGCTACAGTCCTATGCAAAGTTACTTGGCAGTGAGCCCCATTAAGTCAAATGGGACGTACTTCTGAGTAAACATGTAAGGAACTGCGCTGTAAATCTAACCTGTGTTGAATTAAGACAGGAGAGGCCAGATTCAAATCCCACTAAGCTATTAAGGTTGCCAGGTGCCTTTGGGCCATTCCCTATCTCTCAGCCTGACTGACCCACCTGCCTCACAGAAGCGTAGAGCTGGAAGGAACCAAAAGGGTCACCCAGTCCAAACCTCTGCAATCCCATGTGGCTAAAGTGGATGGGGAAGATTCATGTACACCATTCTATATTCCTTGGAGGAATGGGTATATATAAAACAAAGTAAGAACCCCCCAAATGACTTGCAGAGAGCAGAAGAGAGCCAAGGCCTCTCTGGCCAGCATCCCGTTTTCCACAGGGACCAATCAGGTGCTTCCAGGAAGCCAGGGCAGGAGGGAAACAGCTCTCCCATTCTGGGTCCCAGCAAGCAGCTTTCAGGGGGGGGGGGGGGGCTCTGACAGCCTTCGCCTCCTCCACACACCTTTCTAATCTCCTTCTAAAGCCATTTGAAGCCGGCTGCTCTCACCGCATCTTGCAGCAGCACGTTCCACAGATTATCACATATTTCCTACAGATTGTCCTCCCGACTCTCTTGCCCTTCAGCTTCAGTGGGTCTGGCATTAGGAGAGGTGGAGAAACACTTCTCTCAACTGCCTTTTCCAAAGGCCCACCTTTTAAAAGTGGCTTGCTGAACAGCACTGGGTGAGAGTGGTGCTGTCGCTTAAGAAGCACAAGCCCAAATCCCTCTTGGGGGCCTCGGAATAGTTCCACAGGGCTTTGGATCCAAAAGACTATATTCCAGTGCTCTGGGTCAAATAGAAGAAGAAGAATCTAAGAAGAAGAAATCTAAGAACCTGGTTCAGGCCCACAGCCCACCTAGTCCAGCATCCTGTTCTCACCATGGGGATCTAGTTGCCTGTGGGAAACCCACAAGTGGGGTTCCAGCTCCCTGTGGTTCCCTGAAAGTGGTTATGTGGAAGCATCGCTGCCTCCCTCTGTGGAGCAGAGCAGAGCCATCATGGCTGGTTGCCCTCAATAGCCCTCTCCTGTAGGAATCTGTCTAGTCCTCTGTCAAAGACAGAGACAGCCTTGAATGGATATATGCTGAACTCTTCTTCATCTCAGACCCCCCAGTCTTTCCAGTTATCCCTCTGATCCTATGCCTGCTTTTCCAGAAGCAACTCTTCTCCTTAAGATTTCAGTCTTAGAAGAACGCCTTTTGTGGACAAGGCTCCTCAAGGGTTTGCCTGCACCTGAGCTAAGTTAGGAATGTCCTTTAAAGGAAAAAGAAACAAACAAGGTCGCATTCATGAGCTTCTCCAATGTAGCAAAAACTAAGCAGTTCAGCAAATCCAAGTCTGGACAAATTAAACATCTGAACACTTGAGTCTTCTATGCAGTAAAATCAAGATAGAAGACTGCAGGAATCAGGGGGAGTTGGTGCAGAGTTCTCGAGGGGGCCAAGCACATTTATAGAGGGGGGGGGATAGTTTGCTTATTTAACTCTCCCCTCGCACTTTACTAACCTTTTTCCCCTTCATGAACGGTAAGATCACGGACTACCCCCTTCCAAAAATGTATTTCCCGTGGAATACGGGGCAGATTTCGGCGACGACTGCCCTCTTCGGACACAAAGAAAGCCCCCGAGGGAGAGGTGCCCCCAGCGCCCCGTCCCGAGCCCCTGCACACCCACCCCTCGCAAAGCTGCACTGGGGCGCCCGGGTTTCTCCAGTCCCGCCACCAAACCAGTCCGCCCCACAAGCTGCGCTCGGCGGAGCAGGAAGGGGCGGCGGGCGCGACCAAGGCACGCCGGGGGTCTCCTCGCCCCGGCGAATCCCGCTCGCCCCCCGCGCGGCGCCCCGGAGGCCCCTCGGAAGAGACGGCGCCGCCGCCGCCGCGCTTGGGCTGAGTTTCCAGGAGGGAAGGCGGCCCGGCGAAAGGAGACTCTCCGGTGCCCGTTTCCTCCAGGCGCAGCTCGGCTTCTTCTCCCCCCGCCGCCAGCGAGCAAACAAAGAACTCCGCGCCCGTCCCGTCCTTCGCGCGTGGCCTCGCCAAGGAGCCGCTCCAGGCGGCGGGTCTCGGCCCGAGGGGAAGGAGGCCGACCCAGGAGGAGGAGGAGGAAGAGATCCAGGCCAGCGCCCCCCCTCCGCCCCCGCGCCAAGCCCGGCCATTTACCTTGAAGCGAGCGAGTCCCCTGCCGTCCTCTCCTCCGCCGACGCCGTGCCCGCCGGGCTCAGGGAGGACCGAGCGGGCGGAGAGACTTATTCAACTGACACGGCGGCGGCTGGAGCTGCTGCCGCTGCCGCCTGGCTTGGCTCCATCTCCGGCCCCCAGGGAGAGCCTCGCCCGGCCCCCCAGCAGACCCCTCCCACTGGCAAGCTCCCGGCTCCCTGGGACGGGCGGGCAGGGGCAGAGGGGGCTCCCCCCAAACAACCCCCCTCCTCCAGTCTCCTCTCTCCAAACTGGCTCTTTCTCCTGAAGAAATTGGGAGCAGGAGGCAATAGGTTGAGGAATTAAGTACTGTGCTCTCGTTGATCCTGCTGCCCGGGACTGCTGGAAGTTTGGTGTGCAGCCTGTTTGTTTGTTGGCAGGAGCCAAGCGCACAGTAAACCACACCAAGCAAATTGGAGTTAACTGTTAGCAAAAACAGGATCTGCACAGGAGTGTCAGGCCTAATGAGCACAGCTACTCCTCTCTGGTCTGTCTTGTCCTCCTAAGCATTTGCTGAGAGTGAAGGCCATCACTTTGCCTCCTCTCTGCAAGCAATTTGAGACTGCGCCTGCAGGAGGCCGCCCTTTTCATGTCTCTTCTGGTTCTGGGAGACAAGTCGGGAGGGGAGCTGGTCACAGTGGGAGGGGGAGACCTCCTGGCTTCTTCAGCAGCCTGCCTCTTCTCTGCCTCCGCTCCTGACTCTCTCTGGACTGCCCTCTGCCACAGACTCTCCCATCTCACCAGTGGCATTGCAACAGGGGGGCCTGGGGGTGGGACGCCCCGGGTTCCACGTCTGCGAGGGTGACAAGAAGTCACCCTGAGGGGGCTCGCAGCAACACAGCAGCCATCACGCCGCCACGAGCAAAGGATTCCGGATGCCGGCAGCAAACCTCTAAATACAGTGCATGCATGGCGTGGCACGCATGCGCTGTACGCAGTGATGCCGCACATGCACTGTATAGCGGTTTGCCACCGGCGCTGCTCCAGTGCCGTACGGACGGTGCCAGGATCCTCCATTCGTGGCTGTAGCGGCGCCAGAGGGATTGTACGGCGCTGGAGCAGTGCTGGTGGCAAACCGCTATACAGCGCTGTGCGACATCGCTACATACAGCACATGCGTCGTACGTAGCAGTGCCACACATGCGCCCTACGTAGTGACGCCCACCCTGGGTGTCACAACGCCTTCCTTCGCCCCTGACCACTACACCACACTGGCCCACCAACCTCAGCCTGTCTTCAGTCAGCCCTCACCTGCCTGCCTTCTTGGGGGGGGGGCTGTCTCCGGTTGGCTTTGGCGCCCTCTACTGTTGGTCTGCCTGCCTTCTGCTCAACAGGCACCAACCAGCCACCACTGGCAGATATAAACTTGCCTCAAAATTGCTACTGATTTTGCACCCAAGACTGCAGTGCTGGAATAACGGGGTGGGGGGCTTAATGAAACCCAGACGCCCCACTCCTGTCTCCTTCCAGTTTGGGCTAGATCAGCCCCCCCCACACAATGAAAGGGAAATGGAGGCAGGGGATAAAGGTGTGTTTAGTCAAAGGCCTATTTAGTTAAAGAAGAGTTAGAGGTGAATATTTTAAACAAATAGACTTGCAACTGCAAGCCACCCAAAGCATTTGGGGTATGGCTGTTTGTTTGAATGAATAAATGATCGCTGAACGGGGGCAAATGACTCAGTGGGTCAGGTGTGACTTGAGCCCCTCCTGATCCTGGTCCAAGTTCTTTAACTGTCTTTCCCAGTTTCACCTACACCCCCCCAAGGAACTTCAGTGGCCGTTTCCTCTGCTGTTTAAAAGGGGCCAAGTTGCCAGTAAAAGTTGCTCGATGACATTTATTGAAGTTCAGGTCAAAGCACAGACCGTGGTGCCCTCATCCCGCCCTCAGCTGAAACCAAGTGCCTTGTGCAAATTAACTCGGGTGATTTGTATGCAGTGAATGTTGCCGAAAGGTTTGGCAGCTTTATAAATGTGAAGGAGCCAGCAGGCAGCCCACACAATAACCCCAGTGAATTATTACGAATGACCCCATCCGCTGTGATTTTAAGTCCGCTACTGTAGAGGGACTTGGCCTTGCATGCAGAATGCAACGATGGAGCAGCAAAAGTTCCCAAAGAGTTGCAATTAGGAGCAGAGAAGGTCAGATCCTGCCATGTATTGGGGGCTCTGTGATTCCTACAGGACCTGTGTAAGACATTTTGCTGCCTGAGGCAAAGGACGAGGAAATGCCCCTTCATCCTGTTTCACACGCACACAAGTCAGATAAGCAGGCAGCCGAATCTTACTTCAAAACTGGTGGCATCCTTCACTACACCTGAGAGCAGAAGGCTAGTTTTAGGGCATCTGCTCTGTCTTCCAACTACCACCCACTACTGTCCCCTAGACACACCCTTTTAACCATTTTTAATGTATTTGTTCAGTGTTGTTGAGCACACATTGAGCAGCAGGTTAGACCTGATGACTTCCAAAATCTGCTTCAACCCTAAAATGCTATAATTCCAATCTGAGCAATGTAACAGTGCAGTTTGAGGTGCAGTTTGTAACAGTGAGTATTTCTACTTGGGTGGGTGGGAAAGTCTTGTCATATGCCCACCCCCTCCCAGAAATTTTAAAAGTCCAAACCATTATTAGCGTTTCCTCATTGAGAAGTCACCTCAACCCTTGGCCACTTGACTTTCTCTGCACCTTTTCCAGCTCTCCAGCACCCATTTTGAGGTGGGGGCAACCAACACTGCACACAGTGTCAGTGGCACCTGCAACAAAATATTGCACTTACTCCATTCCATTCTCCCTGCCTCCCAGTTTTCTCCAACCCAGTAGTCACCATTCTGTGCCCACGAACATGCTCAGTCCTCTGTGGGTGCCAGGCTGCTGCCAGCAACTCCCACAGCTGGTTGCCCAGGAACATACAAAGACAAGGAATGTTCTTACCGTCTGCTTTTTATTCACTCTTTACAGAGAGAGGCTTTAGAACACAGCCTCTTAGATTAGTTCTGTCTGGAGTGAATCTCCACCCTCTCATGTGTCATCCCTATGGGTGCTGACAAGCGCCCTAGTCTTTGAGTTCTTTGCTCTCCTGCTTTCAAGGCTCGCCGGGTTCTGGGAGAGGAGGGTTCTATAATGCTTTCTAAAAACACTGTGTCCGTCAGTTGTCGCCCCCTGGTGCTTCCTCTTCCTCTTCTTCCTCTCCCATTATTTCCCAACTTTCCCCCTCATCTGCCTCTGAGCTGTGACCTCCCACAAACCACTATTGTAACTTTCTTCCTCCACCCTGGAAGGGTCAAGCTAGGGAGGCGGTCTTCACCATTCCTCCTCTGGCCAGTCCCTGACAGTGGGGGCTTTTACCGCCCTCACTGGTTTTAGCGTATGTGTGTGTGTGTGCGCCCACACACACACATGCTTGCTTCCTCTTGGTATGTGGGTTGGTGGGATTTGATTAAAGTTGAACCTACCAGATTCACATTTGCAAAATACAGCTATCCTTCAAAATCTGCATGTCTCCAAATTTTGCAGTGCTGTTTTCCAGCAAAATAATGTGTACAGAAAGGCATGTACTATAGTAAAGTGTGCATAAAAATGCATATTTGTGAAAAGATCATACAAAAATGCCATATGATGGGGATATTGCTTTGCAATTTTGTACTAAACAGATTGTGTACAAAAATGTTTGCTAGGAGAAATTTGCACGAAAATGTTAAGAGAACTGCAGAAATGTAGAGAACTGAATTTAAGATTGGAAAAATGAGAAACTTTTGAGAAGCAATGGCTAGGGCTGGTGGAGTTGTAGTCCAATGGTAGCAGGAGGGCCACAGGTTCCTCATCCCTGTTTTAAGTGATGCTCCTCCCATGAAAAAGAAGGTGGGTGAGATCAGTTTAATGGGTACCACTTTGGAGTACTTGCTCCAAAGAGATTCCGACTAAACACCAGGAATAACTTTCTGGCCATAAGAGCTGTTCAACAGCAGAATGGGCTCCCTCGGGAGGTGCGCACTCTCCTTCAAGGGAGGTTTGTAAGCAGCGGTTGGGTGGCCATCTGTCATGGAGGGTTTAGCTGAGTTTCCACCATTGCAGGGGGTTGGAGGGGATGAGCTTTGGAGTCCGTTCCAATTCTCTGAGTCTATTAACCCTCTAATAAGCCCTGACCTTCTGAGGGAGTCCCTTCCACTTGTTTAAAGCAAGACAGTTCCTGCCCTGCAATCACACAATCTAATAACTATGATGCAAAAGAAAAAGGGGTGTGAAGGGAAGAGGTGAGCAAACAAATCTATTCTCTCTCCCCCCCCCCCATCTTCATTTCAATACCTGCAGCCTACATATGGGCTCTGCATTTGTCCAGGAGGTTAGCACAGCAGAACTGGCCGTATCCTAAATGATCCATCACTTTTACTGCTATGAATGACTGAGTCACCCACACCAGCTGGAAGCCGCAGTAGCTGCAATTAAAGCTGTGT